ATAAGCCTCATGTGGCCCTTGATGAAAATGAGTTTCACACCCCTGTGTTAGAGGATGGGCAGCATAATAATTCTTCATCAATGATATGATGAGGAGTCTTAATTTTGAGTCCTAACTACACATATCGACATAGGGGTTGTTTCACAATTCATTGAAGCGGGCACAAGAATTGCAAAAGGGGAATTGGCCTCAGCCTGCATTGATATCCCTCTAGACCACGGATGTCAAACATATTTTCACCAAGGGCCCCACTGGCCTTATGGCTGCCTTCAAAAGGCCATTCATAATTGTAAGAGTATAGAAATATAACTACGTTGCCCTGGTATTACAAGCCTCAAGGGCCACATAAAATGATGTGACAAGCCACATTTGGCAGGTCTTGCATTTAGCACACATGCTCTTTTAACTGACAACAAAAAAATCTACACTTTAAATATAGTCACTTCTCCTGTGCTATTTTTAACATTTTTGTCTGATGAAGAAGCCAATGAAGCATCATATGATGCATTTTAGTTGGCCAACAAAGGTGTGGGTTATTTTTTGTGCGTTGACTTGGAATGTTGTTGTATTTTGCTGCATGGTGAAACCTGGAATATGTTGTTTTACAATTTACAAGTTTTAAAAATTGATAGCAAGATAAATACCTCCTCCTCCTCTTCCTCCACCTTTCAGTCTCGTTCTCTTTCTCCCTGTCCTCCTTCTTCCTCCTTTTCTTCTTCTGCTGCTAGAGTTTTTACTACCAGCCACTGACATCTACCATAGTGCCTTGAAAGACTAGCCATTAAGTAAGATGGCATGTGCCATACATCTGCTACTTTTACAGAAGGCAATGAGGACAGTTTGTGTATTTATTTATTTATTTATTTGTCGTGTCAGGGCAACCAGTCAATTGTATTACATTTCTAATCAGACAAAACGAACAAACAGACAAAATACAAAATTTGCAAGTTTGGTAGTTGATTAAATGTCCTTTGAATGAGGACAGTTGACAATGCACGTTATACTAAATGAGTCATACTTTTAGAAATTTAATTATCTATTAGGCCTGGGTAACAACGGAAAAATTTGTTTCTAAAATCGATTTGTATTTGGGGGTTTTTTTTGTTTCGATATTTAAAATAATTACAAAATTTTCCTTTTAAAAAGTTTGATATTTACGAAATTTCGTAAATGGTAAAAAATTAACGAATCGATTTCCGAAACAATAACGAATCGATTCGTTAATGGCGGACGCGACCGCGAAATACGCTAAAAAACCTCCAAAACCTTCTGAAGCTTCCCTCTCCCTCTGTTGTTGACTGTTGGTGTGATATTATAATTTTTTTTCACTAATTAAACCATAAAACTGGCCCAGACATGCGGAAATAATAACGAAACGACCTCAAAACAATAACGAAACGAATACAATATCGAAATACGAAGCATTTACAAAACGTTTTTGAAAATTCGTTTTTTTAAATAATTGCTCCAGAATGGTTCGTTATCGTTTTGTAATTGAAAAAATTAACGAATTATTAACGAATTACGAATTAACGAAACGAAACCGCCCAGCCCTATTATCTATAACTATGATGCATCACAAAAAGGGAGCAGAGTTCCCTAGTTACAACCTGCCCCTCCCCAGGCTCCACTACCATGTGGGTGAAAGTTGTTTCAGAAAGGTCATCTCTTGAAATGGATACTCCTCCCTACATGTTGCAATCTCCTAATAATAATGAGCAAGACCACAATATGTAAAACAGGCCTCGCTACTTGTGCTAAATTAAGCAATCACAACATGCATTTCGACCCACATGATTCTCCATGTAACATGCTTTCTTGTAAAGCAGGAATGGGTGTCATATGGTCTTCCTGATGTTGTTGGACCACAACTCTCAGCATTCCTCCTGCAAGGTCCAGGACTTGCAGTACAACAAAAAATGGAAGACTATATTATTTTCTCTCTCATTTAAAGTATTAAAATGTCTTGTAATGTTTATTACAATATAATACATTTACAATATTATAAATAACAATAATACAAAACTAATCTATTACCAACATTTGTACTACTTACTTAAATGTGCCTCCTCTGCACACACAAAAAACTGCACTATCCTTTATTTCTCCTTCCCCCTACATATAAAAAAAGAAAAAAGAAAGATATTACCTATATTGACTTGACTCTAGAGCACCATCAATTGTAGTGCACACTTCAATTTTGAGGTGAAAATTACAAAAAAAAATGGATTTGCTGGAGAAGCAAAGAGAAGTGGCCCCCTTTTGCCAAGCAAGGCTGGCAAGTTCACCAGTCTCAGCTTTGTGGAGGGGGGAGAGGGTGGCTTCTCAGCCTCTTTGCTGGAGGCTAAGGAGAACGGGGCTTGGGATGGAGGAAGGACCCCCTTCTCCTTAGCCTCTCAGCTGGGAAACTAAGAGAAGCAGTGTCCCTGACTTGGCTGAGGGATGTGGTTTCCCAACTAGGCTCTTTCATGGTCTGAATGAGCCCATTTGGTTAACTGCTCCTCCTCCATTCACCAACCTTAACCTGACGGAGGGTCACAGGCATCTTTTGGAGTGAAATTCTAATGTGTCCTTGTATATATCGCACATCTCCATTTTGGCTAAGCAATTAAGCCAAAAAAGCTGTGTATTACAATTGAGTAAATATGGTAATATTTACTTAGTTTGTATTAAAATTTCTAAACGATTAGAAAACACGAATCACTGGGCAATTTAATACAAATAAATCTACACTTTTAAAAAACACCATGTATTTAATTTAGACAGACTAATTATATTTCACATTTGTCTCCCCCTTGACAGTTGGTATTGAAAAATGGAATTTACTTATAGCAATTAATTTGTTGGCTCACTTCTGTTTTTAAAGATTTATACTATTGCCTTCTGGTGCAAAAACATTAAAGATAGGTTACAACAGTTTAAATTTTTGAAAACACTACCCTTCATTTTGTTAAAAAAATGTATATATTGCCATAATAAAAATGATACAATTTGTAGAGCCTGATTGTCTGAAACATGTATAGTTTGTATTTTTTTTAAACTGTTTCTAAAAAGATTTGTATTTACTCATATAAAAGGCAATTAAAGAAGTATTTAGTTTTTGTATCCATTTATTACAATTGTAATTCTGGAGTCCAGACCTACCTTGAATTACACCTGGGCTGTAGAGGAGATTGGTAGATATAGCAAGGGACAATGGCACACACAGCAATGAGCCACTGGAATTTTTGTGGACTCCTGGAAGTGGCTCAAATAACTAGTAATTCAGGATTGAGTTTGACCATCAGTAACAAGTAGATTAGGCAGGCTAACCTGATTGTGAAAGTTTTCATCAGGTCCACCTGTTTCCATATAATTGCTGCTTTGGGAATGATCCCTCAGTCAGCAGTTGAGTAGCTTCCTCACCTGTTGTCCAGATTGCGATTACACACATAGCTTTGTCACAACATTGGTGGGTTGGACATGAGACTAGATAAAAATGGAGGGAATTGGCATGGCTTGGAGGCATGGTCCAACTCAATATCAGTAATCAGGGAACTTCACAGTGGCTTATAAGGAGCCATGGTGGCACAGTGGGTTAAATCCCTGTGCTGGCTGAACTGCTGACCTGTAGACCTGAAGGTCGGTGGTTTAAATCCACAAGACGGGATGAGCTCTCATCTGCCAGCCCCAGCTTCCCATGTGGGGGCATGAGAGAAGCCTCCCACATGATGGTAACATATCCAGGTGTCCCCTGGGCAACGTCCTTGCAGACAGTCAATACTCTCATGCCAGAAGTGACTTGCAGTTTTCTCAATTTGCCTCTGACACAATAAAAAAACAGTGGCTTATGTCTGTGTGTGATTCCAGTCTGTCACTCTCTGAATGCCAAACGATAATTAGGCTGCAGGGTGAAAGTCTGCTTGATTACCAGTCAGTTTGATTGGTCAAAGTATCTATGCCCCATGCCCAAGCCAACTTCTCAGCTGTGATCAATAACAGTTGTGGCCTGATTAACCAATGTAAATTTTGTGGTCATCCTTGGCAAGCTCAACAATTCTTCACTATTGGGAGCTGTAAAGAGATTTAAACACTCAACAGCTATCATACACACAAGGTTGCTTCATTCAAGACATTCTTTACAAAGTAAGTGTTGTACAGATATAATAACAAATATAATAAGTAGCACTTCAGAAATGACACGTGTAAACAAATCTTGAAAACTCCCCATTCATTGTATCTTATACAACAAAAATGAAATATGCATAATAATTAAATAATGATTTATGTTTGATTCACCTAACTTGAAAATGTTTACAGTAGCCCAGGATTCTCAGTGTGTTGGTAGACCTTTCCTTCCCATTAATTCCAGAGGAGGAAGCTGTTCTATTTGACTAAATGGTCTGTCTTTGCACACATACATCATTATATACTTCTGTATCAGCATTTATATTGTGACCAGGCTTGGGTGGAAGCCATTACAAATAACTGCAATTAATACTTAGTTGGGATTGGAATTAAACATACAACTAATAACTTTTTAAAAATATCTTTTCAAGAATTTGTAGGAACCTTGGCTCCTTTGAATAATTTTCTAAAGCAGTCCAAATACTTTTTAAATTGATAAAAATATATAAACAATTGTAATCTCCCACACTATTTCACAATATTCCAGGAGTAATGTTACCTATTTATTTCTCTTTTTTAACTTTATAAATGAGCAGTCTGTCAAGAAAAACTCAAAATGTAGGCATAAAGTATAGTAAACCTGGGGCATTGGAGTACTCAAATGCAATTTACTTGCTCAGTTACATAGCAACAGATTTCTGGAATAGATCTATATAATTTTTTAATGGCAAGTTTAGTAATGCATAGCTGTGAATTCCCTCCATGATCCAGTATCTCGAATCTGTCAGTGTGATCCGGATTATCTACTTTGGACATCACCCCAAATTACTTCCTTTTTTATATCCTAAATATGTTGCATTGTCTTTAACCTATAGTTATCCTTTTCATTTCAGCTCCGTCCTTGATAGGTATGGTCAGAAAGGACTGGGCTTCCCAAAACAGCATTGCCCTCTCATGGCAAGAGCCTGATTTTCCTAATGGAGCCATTCTGGACTACGAGATCAAGTACTATGAGAAAGTAGGTCTTGACTAAAATGAAATAAACCCCTCAAAGCACCATGTTATTATATTTCCCCTCTTTTGTAGATTGTAATATAGCCTATATGTGTTTATTAAAATAATAATAAATCATTATTTATTTAGTGATTTATTAAAATAATTGGTCTCCATTGTGTATGGCTGTTTTCACTATATCTGGCCAATTGTTATTTTAAGCCTGGCTTTCACACATAGTATAGTGGTCTCAAACAGTTTTCTATATTGTTAGCACATGAAATGAGATCTAAGTGTTTGGAGAAAAGTTCATAACTACTTCATTACAGATAAACACACGTGGTTTGACAGGGAACAAGGATATCTACCAGAGCAAAAGTTGTAATGTGAATCAGTCATGCTTCCAATTTCTCTTTATTCTGTCACTTATGGGAGAATAGTAAACAGTGACATCTCAACAGTGACAGTAATGAACACTGATAAATCTTTATATCCTGCTTGCAAAGTGACTTTTTGTACAGAGAATGCTAAGCATATAGTGTTAGTTATGCTGTTGAGATGGTTTGTACATATTGCTAAAGCAAGCATTCTCTGACAATCCATCAATATTTCAAAACTCGATTTTGTCTCTGAAAGAAAATGACCATTTCCATGTTGCAGATCTCCTTAAAAAACTGGTGAAACAATAGTCAGAATAGCTGAGACATACAGCACAAAACTGAAGTCCAGTGTCCTGTTATCAGCAGAATCATTGATAAACTTGGTGTCAGGACTTCCAATCATATTTGTGAAAGTGGACCTACACTGCCATATAATGTAATTTCATATTGCACATTAACTACACTGAACTGGATTATATGAGTCTACACTGCAATGTAATCCAATGCCATATAGACCAAGTTGTGTGACTACAATGCAGCTAATCGGCATTGAACTGTGTACCATATAGCATCTGTGGCAATACCTTAGCACTGAAGACTTGTATAGCTGATGGAACATGATGTACACCTTTAACAAAAAAGAAGGATGTAAGTGACTTGATACTTCTCTAAGTATTTGAAATAGCATTGGTAGATTGAGCTTTCCAGGAGCCCAAGGCTTGAAAAATCACTCCCAAATATTTATAAGTTTTTACCTTCTCAATTGGATGATCATTTATTTGTCACTTATGTATACTCTGGTTCTTAGTAAACACTAGGATTTTGGACTTATTCTGGTTAATAATTAGCTTTTTAGTTCTGTAATGACTACCAGAGCATTTTGTAATCACCACAAGCCAATGCAAGTTAAAGAGAGAAGTACCACATCATCTGCATAAAGGAGGGCTGTCAAGGGTCTTCCTGCTAGGTTAGGAGGATGGAAATTTGAATCAGAAAGACTCCTAGCTAAAGAGTTAATGTAAATATTAAACAAAGGCGGTCCTAGCACTCAACCTTGTCTTATACCTGCATATGTTGGGATGGCCTTGGTCAAGTGGCCTACCCTGTTACATCTCACTTTCAAACATGTTTTCACATAAAGGTTACAAATCAAAATCAACAGGTGCCTGTCAAGATTAGTTAGCTACAATTTCTGCTGCAACCTGTCTCAGGGAATCATATCAAATGCAAACTTAAAGGCATTGAAGGCTGTATAAAGGGCTCCCTTGGTCCTAAATGAATATTAATCTATAAGATGGTATAAAACTATACCATGATCTCCATTAGAGTTTCCTAGTCTAAAATTTGCCTGCTTGTCTTCCAGAAGGTTTTCCTCTTCCATCCAGATTGATAGCTTTTGAAGGAGGTGATGAGCATACAACTTTCCGATTACACTTAGCAAGCTAATAGTGAGCCCCCAGTCTTTTGGTATACATACAAACCGATCTATGCACGTGAATAATGCTGCTAGGACTGGGGCCCACCAACTCTTATTTACTATAAGCATCTAGGGAGGGATGCTGTCATTGATATTGTTTGTTCAGTTCTACTTGTTTTTGTCTGATCTGTTGATTGTAATGAATTATTCAAATGGGACTGAAACTGGAAAGGAGAAAGCCCTTTGGTGTGGAGAGGATCAACTCTAGCCCATAATCATATCCATATGCAAATGGCTCTTGCTGTATTTTTGTGTGTTTGCGTTTGAAAAAATAATAACGTATTGCACATTAAATTAGTATAAGTTATTGGTCTAAGCCCATTTTGAATCATTTTGACTTAATTTAGGAAATTAACAAAAGGAAAGATAACTCTTTTCCTCTGAAAAGTTATTCCAAAGGATCAGAGGACCTCCCAACAATGTAGGATGGTAGAATCTTGTGGGAATTTAGCAGTTGTCCTATATTGGGCTGGAATTCTAACATGTTGACTTAAAGAAGGTCAAAATAATAAGGTTTTCTTTTTTTCTCCCTTGGTCACCCTATGAACCTTATCTCATCTACATTGTTCATAAGTGCCTTTCCCAATATTCCAGATGGGCTTGTGAGTGGGTGGAGAAAATGTGGCTACCACTGGTTGGAGATAATATGAAATTACCTTTCTATTAAGTTCCTTATTTGTCTGAGGATCCAAGCTATTGAGTCTTTTTGACTTAAATCTATTTTTTGACTCAGTCATAGTATATTGATTATCTTCATTTTCTGCAGGCTTTACTAATGATTTTGAAGTGTCCTTTCTCCATGCTCTTGTCAAAGCAGTTCAGTTAACAACCTATTATTTTGTATTCCTTACTGAGCACTTAATAGCTTTATAGTCTTTTGCAGGAATACACCTGCTACTCATAAAAACCTTTATGTTTTAGTAGATATTTTACTCAACTGATACATCATGTATTTGCAGTGACCTTGTACAAACTGTTATTTTCTTAATGATAGCTCTCAGTTTTTCATCAAAAACCTGTTCAAGACTTTTATATCAGTATACCATATTAGCAGAGATGTGCTTAAAAGTAAGGAGACATTTCAAAGTAAATATATCATTCCATAACTATATACACGTGTTTACTACATCCTCACAGTCTGTTTGGGATTTCGTAGGTACTATGTACATGCACTAGAGTATTTTCTAGTAGTGCTGAATTACAGCAGATTTCTATTGTTCTCTGGCTGTTGTACTTACATGTGTGCTAATTGTGCCCAACCTTCTACTTAGATACAGCAGGATTCCTCCTCAGGTATTCCTTGCTGGCACTAAAACAACAAGCCTCTTTCTGTAAAACATTAATGTGGCTTACCGTCTGGAATTTGCTGGCACAGAATTGCATTAGTTTTCAGGGCCCAGTTTCTTACGCTCTCCCTTTCTCTCCTGTTCCATCTCTGAAAATGTTCTGCAATGATACATTAATGCAACTCCCCATACATACATGCATACATTAATGTCATTAAATTTCTGCCTATAGTAATACTTGCAAAGACATATGCCTGCATATATATGGAAACGACCTTTTGTAAACTGTTGCTTATGTGTACCTTTAAGTCATTTCTGACATATGACAACTATAAGGTGAACTATCACAGGGGTTTCTCGGCAGGAGTTATTCAGAGTGCATTTGCCCTTGCCTTCTTCTGCACATGAGATTTTCTCATACCCAACCAATGGGTTCCCAAGGCCAAGCTGGGATTTTGAAATCTGGTCTCCAGTGGTTTGAGAGTTCTAGTCCAACACTCAAACCACTACGCCACATTGTAAACAAGACCACTGTTAAACTATTACATCATCTTACATTTTGCAAGTCAATGATGAACTACATTCAGTTGGAAATTGTGTTGTTAGACTGCAACTTCCAGCATTCCATACCATTGACCATTATGGTTAGCCTCATCACACTAGATCATGGATCCACTTTAAATCCTGTGTCTGTCTCCTGCAGAATTCTGGGGTTTGTAGTTTAATGAGGCCCAGGATGTTTCTGGCTGAACAATTTAAAGGCCCCTTCCTAAACTACAAGCCATGCAGGAAGCAAGAAACTGGATTTAAAGTGGATCAGTGCTCTAGTGTGATGAGGTGGTAAGACTCTGGGACTGAAGTATCATATGATAACTTACCCTGGACTATATCATTTTCTTTTCTACTTCACTGGAATTCACTTAGATAATCAAAAAAATATATATGACAGATCATGCATCTTCAACCTCATGGCTATTATGTTAATCCACAAAAGCTACATTTGTGAGTCTTTTATTTAATTGTGAACCTCTTACCGGGACTGAAATAATAGAGTCCCAGCCATATTGGAAAACCTTTCTACAATAAAATATTTAGAAGATATCTTCAGTCACTGAATTGTGGAGGAATTCAGTATGTCAACTGTACTAGATATTTAACTGTGAAAAATATTAATAGTGATCGCTTAGAGATTTAAAGTACTAAGGTCATACAAATAAAGATTTTTTTATAGCCAAGAAATAGAAGCCCAAATTTATAAGATCCCAGAGATTACACAGACAATGGAGGTGAATACTCTCAAATCAATACTTCTGGTATTTTAAGCACGTTGCAGAATGAGATTGTCATTATCTTCAGGATTGCTTTATCTCCTTTTGTTCATGTCAGTGGGAATTGAGATTAATGCCATCACCTGCATTATTTTGGACCAGATTCATAAGCATATAGAACATAGCATTTGACATATTGATTCTGAAGCTTTCAAATAGGAAAGAAGTGTTGTTGGAGCATTATATGGCAGATGAAAAAGTAGCAATCAATATTTGAGCATTTCAGTATGTTTTTTCCCCCAACATAGACTTTCCACCTTACTAATTCTGGTTGAAGTTTGTTTTAAAGCTGATTTAAGGCATGAGCCTGACCTTTCAGCTTTATTGAACCTTACAAATTACATCTACTTTCATCTTTAGCACCTGTTCTTGAATTCTTCGTTTCAGGTCCCACCAGAAATAGATTTAATAATTTGTTATCATAACTTTCATATATCATATATGATAAATTACTATTCTGCTAGAAAGAGTAACAAGTTTATAAATACCTTTTTCAGCCTTCTCAGTTTCTGATTGTTCCCCATTTCTACTTTCTCATCAAGATTTCTCTCTTT